CCAATTCCCGTGCCAATCTGTAACAACAATCACAGAATTTACGGGACAGTAATCATTTTTATATACGCGATTATGCAGTTGGCTCAGGACTGTCCCTTCTGGCAATCTATGAGGGACGCCTATGTTCAGCAGCGGACAGACAACAGCTGATATGACAATGTTGATGAATAATTGATTAATGAACTAAATACTGCTTATCCTAAAGTACAGGATTTACCTATTTAGGGAGCAGAGTTTTACCTATATTTAAAATGTAACATTTATTTTGAAATACATTATTATGTAAAGAATGTCAAAATAAAAATTGATGAAGTACAAAATACATATAAAAAGATAAATATATAACATGTGAAATAAATTCATCTCAATAATTCGATAAAAAGTAGCTGCTAGGAAAATACTGTACTGAGTTTTTTGTTTATTTCATAAACGCTGTTTTAATGCCACTTAATCCTTACATCATTTCAAATGACATTTAGTCCCCAAGATACAGGTCTGGCCTAGTTTGGGGACTGATGGTAATGCAGATATTTTTCTCGTTGAATATAAATTGTAAAAATTGTAAATTGTACTTTATGCAACTATATATTTCTTGAATAAAAATATTAAAATATTTAATTAAGATACTGACTATATTGAAAAAAAAATCAATATGGCAATTATATAGAACCATTTTAAAATTAATATCTTTTTTTTTCAGGGCTGTCGATTATTTTTATTTGTTTTTTAATTATAGAATGTTGTCATGCCTTTAAAACGAAATTGGTCTGCTGTTCTCTTATTTATAATTGATGTTTATTACTGTACAGAGGTGAGATTTCTTCATCATCGTCATCATTTCAGCCATTATCCGTCCACTGCCGAAATACATTTGTCTTCAAAATGGAGAACACTGTGAATGTCACAGAATACTCTGGCAACTAGAAAAAAATAGATAAGCTAAAAAAAAATTCGACGGACATAAAAACATTAATGTCGTGTAATCGAGTTGATGAATTGCTCGATGGAAATTGGCCATTGCTTGATATTTGTATGTATTTAATTTTTTAGAAAATATGATATAAATGGCCGTATGGTACCGGCATAGAATAGGCCACCCCCTTCCTTTCCCGTAGGTGTCATTTGAGGCGACTAAAGGAGGGCAATGCATGGGAAGTAGCGTCCCTCTTAAAACATCTCTAAAGCCTAACTGCGGTAGTCAATCTGCCTGCCAAGCATGGCAATTACTAGCAAAACCCTCCAAGAGGGAGGCTTATGTACAGCAGTGGACAGTTAAAGGCTGATGTGATGATGATGATGATGATACGAATTAGACAACCGATTTAATTTTAACAAATTAATATCTTGTAACTACGTACATTTTAAAATACAAAAAAAAAACTATTACATTTTTTCAATTTTTTTTTATACAACTTAGAATAGCAAACAAGCTGATGGCCCACCTGATGGAAAGTGGTACCTGTCGTCTATAGACATGAGCAGTACCATGGACATAACAGAGTATACTGTTTCGCCCATGATACCCCCTATGCGTTGCCATTCCTGAGGACTCAGATGTTATTCCTCTGTACCCAGTAAATTAAAATTTTAAATTCAATTTAAAATTTCAATAACGTTTGTATTTTAAATATTCATAGCTGTCAATATACGAATTCAGTCTATATGCTAAAACCAGAATGAAATATGAGCAATGCAGTTTTATATTAAAAAACATATGTAACGTAACAAAGTTTCGAGTGAGACTGTTCGGTATCGTGATTTTGTAGTACAGTCAGTAGCAAAAATAATAATACATTTATTTATCCTTCCGTCGGTTCATCTTTCCGATGATGTGGTTGCGGGGCTTGAATAAGTCATGCTCACGAAAATTTCTAGATAGGTGGTTTCATGATAGGCCGGGTTATTGAGTTACCTGCCTCGCCCGTCATACTCGTGAACGGGTGTTGCTGGACTGGTCTACTCTGGTCACTGCAACCGATTTTTTTATTTGTTTTAATTATGTAAATTTAAATTTTATAGTCTGTATTGCTTAGATTTTTTTTTTACAACACAGGGGGCAAACGAGCGTGCGGCTCACCTGATGGTAAGTGACTACCGCCGCCCATGGTCACCCACAACACCTACGGCATTGCAGGTGTGCTGCCGGCCTTTTAAAAAGGAATATGCTCTTTTCTTGAAGGGTATCTCTGTCCCATTCGTGTTTCTACCGTGAAGCAGTTGTGTTTGCATGGCTGTGTTTCGGTTTGAAGGGTGGGATATGGCGTGAATTTACTGGGTATAGAGGAATAACACCTGAGTCCTCAGGAATGGCAACGCATGAGGGGTATCATGGGCGAAACAGTATACTCTGTTATGTCCATGGTACTACTAATGTCTATAGGCGACGGTTACCACTTTCCATCAGATGGACCGTCAGCTTGTTTGCCATTTTAAGTCCTACAAAAAAAATGTGAAGAGTGACTCTAGACAATAATGGTGACAATGTGAGGGTAGCCGAAGAGACTGCACGTGCTGCCAGACGAAGACGCCGCTCACTTCAGTCCTGTCGTGACCACAACGTGGTGCAATCTACGACGAAACGTCAGCAACAAAGAAGCATGTATGTAGGTACTATTAACCTATAATTTTTTTTACATCGCGTCAAGTTCTGAATGACTATTTAAAATATGTGTAAACAACCCGAAAATTTAAAATTAACTAGAATAAAATTTCATCAAAATTAGTTCCGTAGTTTAGTTTATGGTCAAAATTACTGATATCACCACAACACAAGTCGGTATTTTTTTGTAGAACACAGTTTTAATTGGATTATTTAAAACAAAGACAATGAGGGTTCTTCTCTTTTACATTATTACTTCTACACACTTTACCTTGGTTTTTCCAGAACGCTCTCATTCTACATTTCAATGTACTATATAAATTAAAACTTCACCAGGTAAAGTTAATACGCTTCAAGCACTCTTGAGATAAACAATTAATCTATGAACAATACATTTTAGGTCTTGACATGCGACTTTGAACTCTATTGTCTGCAAAATAAATACTTCAAGGTGTAATCTAGACGGAGTATCGTATATAGCACAAGATGCGAGTTCAGATAGTTCAGTGAAGTACTTAACCTGTGTAGAGCAATTAATTAAAGGGAATAGACAAATAAAACAATATTATCCTTACTAATAATTTAAATGTGTGTTTAAATTTTATGTTTGTTTGTTGGTTTATAACGTCTTATCGGCTTGTTCAATTGCTATGAAATTTTGTATACATGTATTACATGGCAAAGAGAAGAATATAGGCTGCTTTTCATCCCGGTAAGTAAATATATATATATCCTGGTCACGTGGTTTCATCTGGTCTTTTTTTCTCTTATACTGTATATTGCTTTTTAGTAAATGAAATTCTTTCTAGTTCTTTGTAATGGAAGCAAGTAAGAGAGCTTCCATCTTTGTGATGATAAACGGTGAAACGTATTTTACTTCTTCATATGGATTGCATTACATACGTAGCAGCTTTCAATACATTATTTATTAATTAATACTTTATTGTACACACATATACACAAAAAATACATGTACAATACATAAAAAATATGACAGAGCAAATGTACAAAGGTGAGCTTAACTCGAAAGTGACTCTCTTCCAGCAGAACAAAAGTGGAAAGCATTATCTACCAGTTTAAGACCAAAGTATCTAAAATGTACAACTGCTTCATATTATTTATACTAATATTGTAAAGGGGATATTTGATTGTTTGTTTGTAATGGATAAACCAATTTTGAAATTTCTTTCACCTGTAAAAAGCTACATTATTAGCTAGTAATATAGGCTAGTAATATACTATTTTTTTTAATGGGTGATAATGGAATGGTATCCCCACCCGCGCTATTGGTATACACCGGCTGGGCACCAGTGAAGGATGATAGGTGAGGATGAAGCAGGTCAGTTAGCCCATCGTGACGAATTCAACAAGAATTGTTCACGATGGTTTCCTGGGGGAACCACGTGGGGGTCGACCTAATAGGGCATATTGCTAGCAATGGGCCTGTCAAACTCCATTGCTAACGATCCCTTTCCCCCCCAGTAATATACTATTAGCTAGTAATATATTATTTTCGAAAATTCTATATGTTGGTGCGAATTTAGTGGTAATTGGCAGTGACTAGTTATCTCACTCTTCTTAGTTTGAAAGAACCATACATTCTATGCTAATATATATACAAACATACATCTATACAAGTAATAAGTTTTTAAAAATTTCAAAAGATTTTGAAAATAATTTTAATTATGAATATAAATGTAAATTAGCAGTATCTTAGGTTATGACTGCCATTTTACAATAACTCATCCATTCCATACACTTACAAATTAGACAGTCGAGATTCACTTACAAAATATTATTTGGACAAATTAAATTATTATTGTATTAATACCTTAAATTTTACTGTTTCTATTATATATATAGTTTGTGTCATTATACCGTATAGGGAAGAGCACTGCTTATCCTAAAGTACAGGATTTACCTACTTAAGTAGCAGGGTTTCACCTATATTTAAAAATGTTTGTAACATTTATTTTGAAATAAACTTATTATTATAAATACTTAAACTTTTGTATGTACTTATATCTGTGTATACTTTTTTGATATGGATGAAAATAAAAATACGGTATTATTAGGAAACGCCTTCTTTTTGAAGTTGGTAAAAATCACGTGGTTTCTTTGGCGCGTCACGCTTGAGCCCATTAAAATCACACAAGCTAGTCTCGCTGCAATGCTATGCTAACAATGAAAAATTTTCCCGGAGCTCGCAACTGAAAAAAAAATACCTCCTAAATAGAACGCCAGCCGAGCCGGTACAGCTACGCTATAAAAACCCACCCGAGCAAACTCCGTAATTCCGCTTCAGCTCGGTATAAAATATGAAAGACTGAGCGAAATTCGCCCTAGCTCCCCTAGGCGCCGGCTCGGCCGTTTCCGCGCAACTTCGTACACTTTCGTGACGACGTAGCGGCAGTTTCGTAGACACCGCTGCGCGCAAGCTACGCGACGCCTCGGCCGCGCTGTACAAATCCTACCAAAATTACTCGGTGATTGTGTATTTAATTTGTGATATTTACTGAGTGCGAGACGACAGTTTACAGTGACGTACTCACATGATGTGCTATGTGACGGATCGCCGCAACTTGGTGTTTCAAGGTCGCCCTGTTTGATGGTGTGAAAAAATGGTAAATGTTTTCTTTTTCCGACGGTTTGATAAGTTGATGAATATTTCAAAGCCGTTTTTTTTTTTATTGCGGCCAGCATTTTTCTCGTTATTCAAACGCGAGTGTTGAAATACGATATTTAATTACGGAAGGATTGGTGTTTTTTAATTAATGTTTTATAATAGAACGATGACGGAACGGGCTGCGGCCTTGAATTTTTTAAGGACTAATATTGCGTGTACCGTATTACATCGGGCATTGTTCGGCGGAGCATATAATCTGAATTTATTGCTTGAATACATTTCACCTTACTGCATTCGTATGAAATAAGCACTTAGGGCCTTTCACGATATGTAAATGTACGTCTTTACGTTCGAAATGAAAACATTGAAAGGTATCGCAGATATTTAAATATTGTTAAAAGCTTTTTTGTTTTTCATAGCGATAAATTTGAATAATATTACACTTTCAACACTAGGGAAGTAATGCATTAGTTGAATTGAAATGATCATAATTTTTATTGCGTTTCCGATTTTTATGGCCGCAACTGTATTTATGATTCAATTTACATTTTTAGTGATGCGAACTGCAAGTTATATAAAATTATTTTACACTACTTTTATTCAAATTATCACCTATTTATTATTCATAAAAGTAAAAAAAATATGATCACGACTATAACCGATAATGGAATAGTCATAGTATACCATATCAGCAATTAACTTTCCACTGTTAAACATAGGCCTCTTCCTATTAGGGGGTGTTGCTAGTAGTTGCCACGTTTGGCAAACGGATTGGTAACCGCAGTTAAGCTTTGATGATATCTTAAGAGGAACACTACTGTCCATCCCTCGACTATTAAGTTCTCTTAGTTGCCTTTTACGATACCCACGGGTAAGGAAAGGGTGGCTCATTCTATGCCGGGACCACACAGCGAATGGGATAGTCATAGACTCTAGAAATACCCATCTTTCGACAAGTATAGCTATTAGAATGTAGCAACAAGCGAGCTAACCGCCATTACTAGAATTAATTTGTTCCTTTAACAAATATAAAAGAAATACCACCGAGTTGAGAGTATTTTTCTTTTAGAAATCAATCGAAAAGGGCTGAAAGTTAGCCATTTCTAACTTGATATATCTACACGTCTTAAAACTAATTTACATATCTCTTACATTATGCACCTAATATCATGAAATTGTTGCAGTAACAATAATTTTATTAACATTTTTAAATCAACTAATATCAATATGCGTTTATTAGTTTCACGAAACTAAAATAGATTAGTGCTGTAGGGTAGGGCGGGGCTAAAAGGTCCATTTTGCGTATATTGTGTCATAACTACGTACGTTTAAGGTTCCTGGGAAAGACTTTAATAATAATAGAAAGTTTAATCCTTCATCTATAAGTTGCCATAGGTGAATACGGCCAGAATTTACCAATGCGCCCAATATGGGCGATACAAAATGTAATGTCAAATGGTCCTTTTTACCCCGCAGGTGGGGTAAAAAGGACCAGTCTTGGGGTAAAAAGAACCACGACAACTAAATCATATTTTGTGGTCAAATGTAGGAAATAAATAAAAATAAATAATCTTTATATTTATTATATTTTAATCGACAGATATGTTGCGACCTATTTTGCACTGGTAACTAAGTTATATAATTATAAGGCACAGTTATAATCAGTCTTAATAACAAATCTTTAGGTCTTTGGTCTTTTTGATCTTGATAAAGGTAACATCTTAAAACAATTGTAGTATCTCAAAATCGTACATATTCATAAAAGAAATCGGTAACATCTTTAGCAACTTAAACAATTTAAAAAAATAAGTATTTTCAACAAAAAACTAATAACTAATCTTCATCAGACTGACAATTCTTACATTCGTATGCAAGAGATGATGAGTGATGTTTGGCACACTTATCGTGGGCCCAACCTTTACAGGTATTACATTGAATCCAGCCTTCTCCTGCAACACTGTCAGCAAATGACTCGCAGCATTCCAGACAAAGACATTCTTCTTCTTCAGAACTCGAACTCGTATCTTTTTCTTGTATAATCTTTCTTTTCACTTGTTTATTTTTATTTGTATCTTTTTCTTGTAAAATCTTTTTTTTCACTTGTTTATTTTTCTTCGAGACAGCTTTTTTACGAGAGACCATTTTCTTCTTCTTTTTATTTTCTTGTTCCAAAGACAACGCTTCCTTTTCAGGTGTGTCTGTTAATATAGCTGCCTTTCGTCGTTTCCTGCTGGTAACATTACGCGGTCCTGCCTGAGGGAAAGGCCTGATGGATTCCGGAGAAAATATTGATGGCTGAGCAAACAAGGATGAAGCTGACGTAGATGGTTGAGGCTCAATGTTTGAAGATGGAACTGTACAGGACCTTAATGGCAGACAATCTTTTTCAACAGCAGCTGTAGAAGACAACATTAGGTCACTTGAGGACAGCAAAACTGAGACGGTAGGCAACTGAGGCCCTACTGTAGACAACTGAGAAGGAGATACAGGAGATATACTTGCTGAAACAACTGCTACAACTTCGGGCTGCGAAGAAATTAACAAACTTGGTGAACCTGGAGAAATAGGCAACTGGGGCTCTGTAGACATAGGCGGCTGTGACTCATTAGGTACAGAAGACGTTGTTGGATTGTTCGGATTTGGTCGGTCTGTCACAAAACTTGGAGCGAAGTCCGACTCATCAAACACTTCCCGGTTGAACGGGTAAACCCCAGCTTTTTGAAACCCTTTCGAGATGTTGTTGGGAGTCAGTGCCAAAGGTAAAGCTGTTCGGACGATGCCTGGGATATCGTAAATGCTCATTGTTTTTCCTGGGTGGCCACGCATCCATGAATCTTGTGCTGACGATAAATACCTTTTAAACGGCCCGAAAACAGACACGTCTAAGGGCTGCAGCTTATGGGAACAATGAGGAGGATACGACAGCATCACTACTCCATTATTTTTCGCTAGATCCAACACTTCCACTGACAAGTGCGAACTGTGATTGTCTAGTAAAAGCAAAACTGGCGACTCTTTAGTTGGCTTCACATAAGTGATGAAATGTTTCATAAAAAGCAAGAATTCCGTATCAGTCATCCAGCCGCTTGCATTTCCTGCACCAATACATTCTGCTGGCCCATCTCGCACGAAATGATCTTGGTATTTCTTTCTTGGAAATACGAACATTGGAGGTATCGAAGATCCAGTTGCCGAAACAGCTACCAACAATGTTACATTAGTTCCTCTTTCAGCAGATGTGACAGACCCGACGTTTCTTTTCCCTTTGGCTGCAATTATTTTTGAAGGTTTATTTACAGTCGAGACACCAGTCTCATCAGCATTCCATATAGACGAACCTCTGAATTTGTGACGATCCATCACGTGTGCCAATTTATCAAAATATTCACAAACGTTCGTTCGATTGAAAGAGGTGGCCCTGCTCAAACTAGTAGCCTCTGGCTTCCTGATAGAGAGACGGTCATTCCTTGACAAGAATCCCGTCAGCCAGTCCTTTCCAGCCATCTTATTTGTGTGCCATACCTCAGGAATCTTCAAATTATATTTTACAGCGCATTCATAAGCCAAGCGACGAACATCTTTAGGGCCTATACCGTGAAAGATTTGTGCAAGTGTCAGTAAATACTCGCAGAGAGAAGTTTCTTGTTCTTGGTTAAACACTAATCTGGGAGTGCCGTAGCCAAATTTTGGCGACTCCGGATTTTCCTTTAACCGCGCCATGAATCTCTTCAATGAAGTTCTGCTAATCTCATAGTCACGACAAACTTGCCTTATTGATTTATCTTCATTTGCGACTAAATCAGCCGCTCGCTTCATCAGCTCAACGGACTTCGTACCACGCTCAGTGGTTTTTTTATAATTCCGCATTCTGAAAATAAAATAGAAATTAATACATAGAATCAAAATAATTCGTGGGGCTTAAAGGTCCACCGCGGTCCTTTGTGCCCCAATGGTAGGTGGACTGTTGTTTTAGGTTATGTAGAAAAACAAGGTGATGCAAACAAAAAAACAATGGCACTACGTGAAACTTAATACCACTAAACATTTATACAGAGAAATTATGTTTCGTAAGTTTAAAAATCGAACAATGAGACTAAAACTAAGTAAAATCTAAAACATTACTTACGTGTAATTTTCGCACCACTTGCGCGTACACTCTTGCCGGCTCTAGAAAATGCACTGCGCGGGGCGGCATGCGCACCCGTCCCTCGTCCCCTTCACGCACCGGTCACTCCGTTGTCTAACGTGCACTTAGTTTCGGAGATAGGCATGGTGGACCTTTTTACCCGCGGACCTTTTAGCCCCGCCCTACCCTACGTAATTTTTTTTATGCAACTTAGAATGTCAAACAAGCTGATGGTCCACCTGATGGAAATTGGTAATCATCGCCTACAGACATGAGCAGTGCCATGGACATAACAGAGTGTACTGTTTCGCCCATGATACCCCCATGCGTTGCTGTTCCTGAGGACTCAGGTGTTACTCCTCTGTACCCTGTAAATTGACTACCATATTTCACCCTTTAAATCGAAACACAGCCATGCAAACACAACTGTTTCACAGTAGAAACACGAATGGGACAGAGGTGCCCAAGCAAACGACTTTCGTACTAGGTCTCCCTCTATAATAAAAATACCAAATGTTATCTATTTTTCATTTTGTAAACTAAAAATTAGTAATGCAAAAACTTTAATAATAATAGGGGCTATTATTTCAGTACAACATTGTTAATATCTTGTCTAGTGCATTGAAACTAATTTCATTCTTACTAATTCACATTAGGAACTAGTTTCACAAATTATGCATGAATCTAGGTTTATGCCTGTATAATTCAGAATTAGTTTGTTCACTTTTAAGGAATCCAGTATTACCTGTATTAATCTAATAAATTAGGTTTCAAAACAAATTTCTTCATAACTTAATCTCTTTTGAGTACTCGATTAAGATGCTAAAGATGTCTTAGAAAGTTTAATCAAAAATCTTAGTTGGACTTTTTTT